GCTCCGTGACGAGGAGTGGCCTGAGAGCGCGATTTACGTGAAGTGACGGCATCTTCGCGGACACACTTGTTTCTTCATTTTGAGTCTGGGCAACGGGAGGGGCTACTACATCCCAGTTCTGCTGATAACGCCCTCATTTGGGTTTCTGTCTTCTGCTAGAAATTCTAAAGTTGTAAATTGGAATCTTTAATTTTTTGTAAACGACGATGACACTGGCCTGCTTGAGGGTGTGAGGGTGCGTGTTACTAGATTCCATCCAGCTCCCGAATAGTCATTGACATTCTCACGGAGAGGAAGACAAGCCTGTTCAGAGACGATGAGCACAGGAGGCAGATGAGGGCGGGGAGAGGCGAGGCATGGGCTGGTGTCTGGAAGAGCCACATTGTTAGATGTGAATTATTGTCAAGTCCAAGCTCTTGTTTTGGGGGGTGAGTTTGTGGATGCTCATTTCATTTTAAAAATAACTAATTCGAAAAGCCAACTAAATAAAAGCAGGCTATGCATGGACCAGGATGGAAGTGTCTCATGGACCAAGGATTATAATTAATCCAATCCTATGTCCCTGGTCCAATAAAAGACAAATCCATAGAAAACAAGCCTGTTTAAAAGGATGGCCTGAGATTTGGATTTTATAACGTGCATGCTTTTTCTTACTAGTTCCACCCCCCCGACTCCACCCACCCACACTATTCTCTTTAAACACCGTTTTTCTTCTTCATTTCAAGAGCTGGCTCATAAAGGTCTTGAACATCGGGAATCTGGTTAACTCCCTTAGTGGGGACCAAAGTCTTGATGGAGCGGAAGGAAGGGCTGGGCTGGCTTCTAGAAGGGGACAAGGCATGAGCGCTTAGGTGCAGCTGGTGCCGGGCGTTTGGTGTTGGGCGTTGATCTCACCCAGATAGGCTGGCATTTTATGCCCACAGGAAGGCGAGGAAAGGGAGACCCCGTCAAGGGTCTTGCCGCAGCTCTAAGGCGTGGTTCTCAAACCGGAACTCCCTGCTTGTGCGGTGTGGGCGTGCCTTGTTTTGGCATCCGTCTGCACATCAAACATTCACCAGGCACTGAGCGAGAGCCCCTTGCATGCTCTGGGCCATGTGCTACATCCTCATGGACACAGAACACATGAGCGCCTCTTCTGGGTCACACACCATGCTAACTGCTGTGTATGTGTTCTCTCTCTTAACCCTCGCAGCCTCTCTCCTCTGCGGCTTCCCACATCTGAGCTCTGGCCAGACCCCGTCACAGTTGTCGATTGTCCTTTCCATTTGTACAGCTGGAGACACTGGGTATAATGGAAAGGCGATGGGCTTTGGAGGCAGACTGCTCTTGGTTCAAATCCCAGGGTGCCCACCGGCATACTTGCCACATCTATTTAAATTCACCCCTTTAAAATTCTCATCTGCCAAATGGGATTAACCACCCTTATCTCACAGCGCTGTGTGAGAATTAAATGAGATCACTCATATAACAAGCATTTTGATTTCTGTCACATAGTAAATGTTCAATAAATGGTCTCTATTATTTTTTTCCTGGAGTGTAGCATCTATAAATAACTTGTCTTTATATTCTCATAGGGCCCAATACCTGGTAACATGTTCATCCCATTTCTTGAATGAACGAAAGAACGAATGAGCGTGTGTGAGAATGAGGACACATGCCCCACTCTCCTGACTTCTTTCTCGGACCCACAGCAGCTCCAGGACAGGCAAAGCTGCCCGCCTTGGTCACTGCACCACCCCTCTGGCCAGAACTTAATTGAGAAGTCCAGGGCTCAGCACCATGGAGTGAAGAAGGACCCTCTGGTCCTCCCGCTGACACTTCCCAAAGGAAGAACCACCAGTCAACCACGAACGTCTTCTTTTGCCAGCCAGTGACTTCCTGAATGGTCCCAGGAATGTGGCTGGCTTCACAAACTCCTCCTTCGGAATCAGGGCACTGGACTGGCCTTCTTAGGAGGCGAGGACTGGGCTCTGGCTGGCACCAGCTGTGAGGTGCCACTGACCCTTGAGACCACGGGTATAGATGGGCTTCTCACTCCTGGCTTTACTGTCCAGCCTATACCACCTCTACCCCTGGACTCTGTCATTTCTTTTCAGGAGAGACAGAAACAGGGGTATAAGCTCCCAGGGTGAAAGAAGGGGGAACAGGCGGGTGGGCGGGGCACCACCTCCCATTCCAGCTCCTTCCTCCACAGGTCCTGTGCTCTGCAAGTTGACTTTTCCCCTTCCTGTCTCACAAGCCCCTCCCTCTTCCCAGTCACTCAAATGACGGAGCACTGCTTGGTGTGGCCCTGGATTAGGGACTGTGTCCTGGGCCAGGAGGCAGGAGGCTTGAGTTCAAATCTGACCCCTGCTACTCACTGGCTATGGGATTTTAGACAAGTCCCTTTTGCTCTTGGAACCTCAGGATCCTCATCTGTAAAATGGGATACGATCACCCACCTTGAAGGTCTGGGGTGAGAATGAGCAGAGATGGTGATCTGAAAATTGTGGTTATTACTGTTATCGCTCTACACACCCTGGGGCCGAGGTGGGGTGAAAGGCCCGGAAGGTCCCAGCCCGGGATTCGCTTGTCCGTATGCGCCAAAGAGTATTTTTCTCTTCTCCTTAGCTTGGTCAGCAGACCCCAGAAATCTGGCAGACCCCGGAAAGCCTCGCTGAGCCTGCACTGTGGATAGCCCCAGTGGATTCCGCTTACAGGGAGCAATGGAAGAGGCAAACAAAACAGGGAAAACTGCTCGGAATTAACAATGGGCCAGATGGCAACGCTAGTTCGAAGCAATAAAACATGATAAATAGCTTCCTGCTGCTACTCCTGATCAATTTCAATATTTAATAATTCCACTGCCACCCCCACCCCCTCATCTGGCCCCCTCCACAGGATCCTGCGATGACTGCCCGCATTCGACTCACAGAGCAAACACTTCTTCGCTTTCTGAAGGCGTCAGCAAAAAGCGAGCTGCTCGACTGTCACAGGAGCGCGCTCGGCCCTCGAGACGGTAATTAATCTGCCTCCCTCTCCTGAAGACGCGCCATCTCGGCCTCTCCTGGTTGCCAGGGAAGGCTGTGAGGGAGCACTCACTGCGGAGATGAGGCAGGAGCCCTCACCTCGTCGATTCGACAACTGTTGGTATCCTCGAGTTCGGCTTTTGCATTCAAGGAAGGCTGGGAGCTGGTGGTCATCTTACTCCAGGACCAATTAGTAGGACAAAGCGACCGAGAAAGGGACGGGGGCAGCGTGGTGTTAGAGCCTTACCCCCTCGGCCGTGCCTCTGTGCCTCAGTTTCCTTCTCTGTGCAATGGAGATAATGATGCCTGCCTCTGGGAGGATTCTAGCGGTGCTACGCATGGGATGGGCCCGGCGGAGGGCTTGGCACACAGGAAACCGCCCCAAACGGGCAGCCAGGAAGCATCATTATCGACCGTGAAGCCAATCTGCGAATGAAGCCTGAGCTCTGTGCCTGCAGGACGGGCCTGCTGGCCCCTGTGGGCAGGAGGCTGTAGCCCAGGGCGGACCTGGCAGAGAGCACCTCGTTGTCAGATGGACCCACCGCAGGGTGCCCCCCAAGTGGCACTCACTAATAAGATTAACTGTCTTGCATTGCCGGCGAGGGCTCTAAAGGCTTTTACCTCACTGACACAGGAGACCTCCGGCTGGCACCACCGCAGGGTGCCCCCCAAGTGGCACTCACTAATGAGATTAACTGCCTTGCATTGCCGGCGAGGGCTCCAAAGGCTTTCATCCCCACTGACACAGGAGACCTCCGGCTGGCGCCCTGGAGAGCAGGCACTGCTGGCACCATTTACAGAGGAGGAAATGGAGATCAGGGGGTGAAATGGCTTTTTGAGTTTACACCACAGGAAATGGCATAGTCAGTTCTAATCTGGATCTCTCTAGCCCCGGTTTCATGTCCTCTCCACTGAATCCCAGGAGAAAGCTTTCCCCAGGGGCCCCCTCTTCTGTGTGTTCCTTTTGCAGGGAGGCAGCAGAGGCGAGGGGAGCCTGGGTGCCAGGTGACCTGAGCTGCCAGGTGACCTGAGTGCAATTCTACTCGTCCGTGAAATGAGGCTGGTAATACCTTCCGCACGGGCCCACGGGGACGTTTAATGAGGGAACATGCACGATCGTACTTCGTAACTTTGTGAGAAGCGGTACCAATGTCAGGTATGGTTACTATGACTTTGTAGGAAAACACCCTCTATGAGGCAAAAGATCGGAAACATATCCACCCAAGGGGAGGATCCTGCCAACCGAAGGCTTCACGCCGCATAACGTAGAGCATCGAGAGCCAAGTCTTTGGTGCGGCGTTCAAGGCCTCGACAGCTCCTGCACCTCCGTCTCTGTGCCTTGGCCCTTCCAGTCGTGCGCCGGCCCGTCTAAGCCACTCGAGGTTTCCTGAACCTTCCACAAGCACCGATGCCCAGATCAGGCAGCACCCGCGCTGGAGGGGTCTGTCCCACCCCATTCGCCGGCTGATGCCCCTCATCTTTCTCCAGGCCAGCTTCCTCTAGCCCGTCGTCCTCAGGCCTCATGTGACTAGAAGCTCTTCTCTGGGTTCCCTGATGGCCTCTCCGCGCTTCCTCCATCCTAGCATGCATCACACTATGCTAGCGTGTTCTCATCTGCCTCCCGCTCTACAGTGAGTTCCCTCAGGGCGAGAACCAAACACTGTTCACACCAGTCTGCCCAGGGCCTGGCCTGGCATCTGCTCAGTGTGTGCTGTGGGGCGAACGGATGAACGGACAACGGGGTACCCCCAGTGCCAATGGAATCAGAGCCCTAAGCGAAGACAAGGGATTCTCATGGGGAATTTCAAATTGGGGTGGGCACAGCCTTGAAGCAGGTAGTGTCCCTGAACTCAAATTCAGCTCAATCTCTTGAGCTGATAGAATAACCTCCCCCCTTCCCCCGCCTCGACCCTGAACAAGAAGGAACGGAGAGTGCCCTGCCCGTCTCTGTCTGGACTCCCCAGGCCATACTGGAGGCCAGTCACCAGGTACCTGATTCCCGCTGGTCCAGGGTCATGGAGTTCCACCTCCTTGTGATGTCAATGTAGAGGATGTCGACGGCGGCCATGGACAAGCTGCTGCTGCTCAGCTTACAGTTCCTGCCGGGAACGGGAAGGGACGCGTTACTGATGGACTGAACCCGTCCTGCTCAGTCTCGCCTCTGTGGCTCTGCCTGGGCCGTGCTCCCTGCCTGGCGGGCCTGCCCCTCGCCATAGCTGGCACTAACAACAAAGGGCGTATGGCAGGGAACGGTGGGACAGAGGGCTGAAAACGAAGGTCGAGGTTAGATTAGGCGAGTTCCTATAACTTGGTTAACTAGGGTTCTAATGGGCTGAAAAGAGCAAAAACTTCATGATGGCAAGTTATTTTTTGTTTGGTAAGAAAATTTTTATTGAAACATACATTTAAAAATTTCCTATACATTTTTCTTTTGGATATTTTTTCAGATTTTTATTTTGATCCATCTCACATTTATAGCAAAGTTCCAAGGGCAGTAAAAAGAACGTTTTTCTGACATTGAGTATTTTATATTAGTTTCAGGTGTATAGCACAGTGGTTAGATATTTATGTAATTTACGAAATGATCGCCCCGATTAGTCTAGTAGTCACCTGGCACTATACGTAGTTATTACCACATCGTTGACTATATTCCCTATGCTGTCCTTCACATCCCCATGATGGCGAGTTTTAAGCTGAACCCGGCTCTGCCACTTAGACCTGCGTGGTCCTGGTTAAACTATTACCCCTTCCTGGTCTCAGTTTCCTCTCCTATAAAACAGGCAGTCAGCCTGTCCTTACACAAGGCAATGTGGGGGGTCCGCCTGCTCCGGAAGAAAAACAGGCACGCCACGTTCCACAAGCATGCCGGGTGCACGTCTTCACCTCCACGCCATTAGTCTCTGGGAGGAGGAATAGAAGCTGGACCTGCAGGGCTGCGTTCTCACGCCAGTGTCCAGGAGGCCAACAGCGGCACTCTCAGATGGCCCAGCGATAACAGCACTGTCACGGGTGCGGGCGGAAGACGTCACTGCTGTCCAGAAGTGATTCCCCACTGGAGATGTGCACCGGAGTTTCCGGGGCCAAATCTGCAGACAGAGGCTCGAGGCCTCTGCACTTCACCCCTCTAATCTGTCACCTGAAGATGTTACGGAGGCCCCGAGTCAGCCACAGTGAGCCCGAGATTCCCGGAGCAGAATGGCACGGGCTGGCCCACCCTTTGCGGGCTGGGGCAGCATCGTTTGGGAGTCCCCTCGAAGCTCTTTCTTGACTTTAGGGGAGTCACCTGGAACCGGCGGGGAGAGGAGGGGCGGGCTTCGGCGCTCCGGATGCCCCCTGGTTTAGGTGTTCAGTCCGATGTCAGCAGTGGTGGTCCCTGTCCGGTCACGGAGGGCTGTTTCGAATCCTTCTCACTTTCATTGTTATTATTACTATTATTTTTGGTCTGGAAATGTAGGGAGGCAGTCTGGCACACTGAAAAGAGCATGATTTGGGCATTCGAATCATGGACAGACCGGCATTGAATGGACCAGGATTGAAATCCTGTGACTGTGGGCAATTTAGTTAAACCGTCCAGAGCATTTATCTGCTGGTCTCTAAATGAAGACAATAACACCCGCCCACATGGCTGTCGTGAAGATGAGGTGAGGACCCAGCATGATGTCTGGCGTCTGGTGGGCCCCACAATTGTCGATTCCCGTACCGCTCTCTCTCCCATTCTTTCTTTTCCTCTTCGAGCACCAGAACCATCTTAGCGCCATCAGAGGCTGCCTGAGGCTGGCCTTTCAGAAAGTGGCCCCATCCATTCTGGAGAAACGCTGCTCGCCAGCCGGCGCCTGGTGCGAGGGTTCGGGCTGGGTTCAGACTGGAGGCAGCCCTGGGCTTGTCTGGGTACGCCGCCCTCCTGAACGCCGGGACTGTGCTGGGACGTGAGTCCTAACATGGGCCGGACTTGCCCTGAACATCTCGAAAGCTAGATCTCTGGGCCAGCTGTCCATCTGGCTAAACTACATTTACTGTTGCTTTCAATTTTCCAAACGTGTCCACATCCATCACCCCGGCTAACGACAAAGTGGTTCTTTGATTTCCCATCTGTCATCATCTCCTGTGTAAGCAGCTCCCTTAGGAACCCGCCAGGCCGGGGGTTGATTGGCAGGCAGGATCTGGGCATTCCAGAGGCCTCTCTCGACACCCAAGCACCCCTCTAACAAGGGTGACAGGGAAAGTGCCCAGCACGCTGCGGGGACGAGGCCGGTGCTCCTTATCTGCCGGCACACTCCCTCCCTCGCTCCCTGCTCCTTCCTTTCTTCCCGCCCCGTGCATATTTCTCAAGCCGTCAACTCACATCGTGCTTCCTCCTAGCCGCCTGCTCTGTATTTCAATCACAGGTCACTGTGGCAGACTTCGAAGCACATCAACGCACAGTTATTGAGCCCCAGTAACAACATGTCAGTGGACGCAGAGCTTTTCACGTCCCCTGTCACCGAGATGGCTATCTCCATTGGGTTCTGCCAGGGCGGCGCTCCAGCCTCTCCTAAGGTATTCGAACGACCTGCACTGCTCCTTTCCAAAGCTTTCTCAGGAACGGTCATGGCTTTTTCTAATGATCATATCAGTACCCTCTCGACGACCTGTCCCCCCCCTCCCCCACAGGACAGGGGCTCTGCTGGCTTGCTAGAGGGGTTAACAGACTATAAAACAGGAAACCAAACTGACCACTGGTATATAGTTACTTTTTTCCTGACGAGTGGAAAATAGAAGTGTCAAACCTTTAGCAGGAGCCGTAATTTACCAAAGAGAATTCTCCATTTATCCCTTTTCCAAGGAAACTCATCCTCCCTCACGGTGCCTGCAAGTACAGTTGATTGCAACATCTGCCACAGAGACGGGAAGGAGGGACCCACGTGGGCTGCAGCAGACAGGAAATGCTTTGAAAGGATTTTGATTCTGTAGGCATTTTAGGGGCACCATCTGCATGCCGGGCCCTTTTCTGCCCAATAGCTCTCTGGATCTTTATAACCATTCTGTGAGGGAGGTATTCTTAGTCCCATTCCAGTGACGTGGTAAGCCGAGATTCGAGAAGGGACACGACTTGCCCGAGATCACATAGCTGGGATTCATATCCAGTCCTTCCCTGGAGGATAGAGTAGTGAGTGGACTTGGGAGCTTTGGGGAGAAGCGGGGAGGTGGCCTAGCCCAGGGCCACAGGGAGAACCCAGGAGTCAAGGCATAGTCTCAGGCGGGGCCATCATAGAACCCAGGAAGTCTGTGGGAAGCTTTGGAATGTAAGGCTGGGCAAGACAACCAGGACACAGGTTCTCCCAGGTTTGTCCCCGTAGTCACCAAACATTTTCAACTGACTCAAACAGGGAATGCCTCCTAGGGTCAAGACTTTAGAATGACTTTCCATCCATCCATCCATCCATCCATCCATCCATCCATCCATCCACTCAATACAGAGTTTATTTTGTGTCCACTCCATGTAGGTGGCATCTGGGGCCATGAGTGATACAGAGCTGAATCAGTCTTGGGTATCATCCTTGGAAGGTAGAAGTGATCTCAGAGTCTGGGATAAAAATGTGAAACCTAGTAGCTCTTAATCATTGAGAAAAGTTTCTCCTTATGTTCTGGGATGCGGTCCTTCAAATGACTAATGGGTGGAAGTGTAAGTTCTTCAGTAGAAGAGAAGTCCAAGAAATATGGTAACAAGAGAAGCCAGGAAAATCCCTAAGAAAGGATAGGCTAGAAATGTACGTGGAAAAAACTGAGCTGAGGAGTCAAATGCACATGAGTTTGAATCTCGACTTTGCTGTGTGACCTTGAGCAAGCCACTGAAACTCTCTGAATCTAAATTTCCTTATTTGTAAAACAAGAACAAGGCTATTCACCATACAAAGCTATTTTAAGGACTAGCTCTGTGTCAGGAACATAAGAAGTGGCAAATGATAGCTCCCAGCCTTCTTCCATGATGTAGAACCAATTGGAAGAAATGGGGTTTTTGTTTGTTTGTTTGTTTGTTTGTTTGTTTTTCAGAATCAAAGGAATCGGGGCACATACGATGGGAGAGAATTACAAATCACTCAAGTTCATTAGGATCCTAAGTTTAGAAACATTTCCCCATTTCCTCTCAACAACCACTGACACTTCATGGAAAATTTAGACACCAATTTTTCCACTCCATAAAATTCTATTGATAGAATTTCTTTTGTGTTTATCCTTCTCTGTGCAGGAAAGGAGCTTATTTTCCCTGATAGGTGTCTATAAAGGAGAAAGCTAACAAGTGGTCAATATTTGTTTTAAAAAAATCCAAACCGCTGTCTAAACATATACAGTCGAAAGGCTGTCGATATCCCAGGCATAGACTCACAATATTGCTGGATAGAGATCGTCACAGAAGAGGGGAATTTTCAAAGTCACCAAGGGGTTAATGACAGAGGGGAGATCAAGGCCCCTTACACTTCCATTCCAAAACATTCTAACACACCATGTTGCCTCTCAGAGAATAACCTTCCCCCACAGCTACCCATCATGAAGCACATTAATATCTCCTTATGAGAAAAGAGAGTAGAAGGAGGGGGGGGAGGGGAAGAAAAGGAAAAAGAGAAAACCATTCTCTAATTTAAAAGGAGACCAAGATCGGAAGCCACAAAGGGACCTCCGAGTGGAATGGCCTTGCGTGAAGCAAAAACGCTCAGGGTGTGGAGAAGCTGCCCCCGTTTCCTCGAAATGAACCTGGTTTTGGCAAACTGTTTGAAATCTCAGGCTACCGAGATGGAAAATGCAGCATGTTCAAATCAATGTCAAATTCTGTCGTAGGAGACACTCAGAAAATGCGTTCTTAGTGAATTACAGAGGATGCCTCCCAAATTAGTAATCCAGTGGCTGGAAAATAACGAAAATGCATTTCCCTTAAAGAAAGCTGTCAAACTGAAGAATCAGATCATCTCTGTTTCCGAGACAGAGAAGTCGCCGCACCTCAGCAATTATTATGATATAATAATTTTTAAAAAGACAGAAAAAAAGAGGCACTTAATTCACGGTAATATGTCCTACTATTATGTGTCTCCTGAGGAAACGACACGAAAAGCTGGTTAGATAAAGTTAAGTCTAGACAACTAGACAAGAGAACAACAGTTCATTATTTCTCATTTCTTGGTGGAAGAGAAAAATAGGTTATGGCCAGGCTGGCATTAGCATAATTCACTCCTAAAACTGCTGATCTATGCAGCGCAGCGTGAGAGATGGCCACTGAAAATAAATGCGATCGGAATACTTATTATGTTGTTCCCTCCAGTTCTCTTCGAGGAAGTCGGAGAGAAAGAGTGGGTAGTAGAGATGAAAGCCAAGTTCAACCTCTGCCATGTGTGTGGGAGCTCTGAAAGGAACATCTATCCAGCCGGCATATACGTCTCCTGTGCGGTGCTCCAGAGAAGGACACTCGGTTTGATTTAACACACGGAATAAATATTATTAATTCATAATGAAGCAAAATTTAAACCGAAGTACAAGGGAGACAGAGAATAGTTGTTAGCAAGAGAAAATGCTTGCTGTTAAATTTAGCTGGCAAGACTGAACGGACTCAGATAAATCTAAAAGCAGAGGGTATCGCCTTTTACAATGAAGTTGCTGCTGGGAATCTCTTGGTACTTTTTGAAAAGGAAAAAATCTATTACTGGTTGTGTGACGTTGTCTTCATTTCTTCCTGCATCCTTAATTACTCAGGTCGGCCGCTGGGTGGGCGTGGAGGGATGGGAGAGCCTTGTTGTCTGAGTCTGCCTGCTCGGCTGCCTCTTCCCCACCTGAAGACATTGTGCCCCTTCTCACGGTCACCATCGCTCCCACTAAGAACCTGGCCACAGGTCGGAAATGACAGGCGCAGGACCTAATAGTCTCTCACATCGCAAAGTCAGTTTTTCATGCAAATGTCCTTAATTATAGAGAACAAAGAGATGGAAAAGCATAAAGCTGATTACAGAGAGAGATCTGTAGCAATAGTTTGGACTTCATCCAGGTCCAGTTGGAGAGCATTTGAGGAATCTTTGCTAGAACCATTCCCAATTCTGTTTTCTTTTCAAGATCACATATGAACATAGCAGCCCCGTTAATGTGTACCTTGGCTTCTCATACTAGAGGTCGCAAGCTGGTGGTCTCTATGGGAAGTCAGTCACTCTTCGATTGAACCCACAAAGGGTTTAAATTATTTTCTGAATGACTAATATTCATATACATTCATATTCATTATGATTTTATATAAAAATCAATATTTTTAGTTTCTCTTGAAAAACCAAAAGCTCTGGTGCTACTAGCCCAGCAGGGTCCTTCCAGCAGGTAGGTGCCCCCCAGGCTGTCAAGCCCCCACCCGCCCCGCCCCCATCCTTCCAGATCCAGCCCATTGCACTTGTTTTTGCTCCCTGCCTGCCCCCAGAGGCAACTGAGATTGTGATTCTTATGGTACACTAGTTTTTCTAATCTCCCCTTCTCTCTTACATTTTAGTAGAATTTTATTTGGAATAAAAAGGAAGGCATTTCAGTTTCTACCATCAGTTTAGCCTTTTCTGACTTCTAAGCATGAGCCATCCATGGGAGTCATTCTCAGGTTCTCCCCACGGCCTGGAGCGTGAAGCCCTTTACTGCCAGGCAAAGTACTGCTTATAACAGTCCAATCCCTGCCTCCTCCCTGGGACCTGCCTTGATTCCACCAGGCAGACAAAGCGACCTCTGTGCTGTCCCAGCACTCTCAACGCAGGCCCCTGGGGACACCTGAGGCCACCGCCGTATGACTCTGCCAAAGGATTGCATTTAATTATTTGTTCAATGCGTGTGCTGTCTGTTAGACTGAGAGTTCCCTGAGGGCAGGTGGGATTCCGTTATTTATTTCTGATTGTCCTATGGCTACCAGGTGCTCAGGAAAAGTTGTTAGGTCAAACCAGGCAGGTCTTTCCCCTCAGCGGTTGAGACAGAGCAGATCTCCCAAGGCCAAGGTCCCCTGCAGCACTCAGGCTGCTGTTCACATCAAGCCAAGCCATCCCCACTCTCACAGGTCCTGAATGGACTCTTCTGTGCAATGGTGCGGGGGGCTGGGGAGGTCCCAGGAGGCTCCTGCCTTTGGCCCTAGAAGGTCTGAACCCCTGGGCGTGTCATGCTGAGAGGACACCGCTCGCCCCCACCATTTCCCTGGGTCCCTGCACGCTTCCGCCACACCTCAAGTGTCCTCAAGACTCGAGGCCTCTGTCACTGAGCTGGTTCCCTATGTCCCAAGGCCCCGTAATCACAAAGGGGTAGAGCACGGCTACCTATTTGTTCTCCTTCTCCTCTTCACTGTATTGGGACAGTCGTATATACAGTCGGACAAATTCTATTTCCCAGCTTCCCCTGCAGATGGAAGTGGCCAAGAAGATGGACGTGGGAGTCACTGAATGCAGCTTCTGGAAAGCTTTTTAAAGGAGTCTAACTCATCCGGCAGAGGCTTTTTGCTCTTCCTCCCTTCTTCCTTCTTGCCTAGAACTGAACCATGATGGCTGCATGTCGAGCAGCCATCTTGTGACCACAAGGCAATTTTGAACCTAGAAGCACATGCTTAGGATGGATGAGCAGAAGGACAGAGAGTGGGGTGTTGATCACCATGTGGCATCATTAACCAGCCCTAAGACCGCTGCTGCAAAACTTCCTGTTGTATGAGAGAAAACTGACTGCATGATTTAAACCATTTGCAGGCAGCTATCTCTTACTGCACATCAAATTCAATTCCTGAATGAGCCAGAGGGTATCGTGTTAGGTGGGATTCTCAGGGAAATAACAACACATGTCTGTTAACTTTCCTGAAAATGTCCACTGCCCGATGGAAATTATAATCACAAGACTCCCATTTAAAAAAACAGCTCCTGTGAACTAGGCACCAGGCCAGATGCTTTATGACATATTACATCTCGACCTCCTAGCAACCCTGCAAGGCAGGAGAGATCATTCCCATTTGACAGATGAGAGAACTGAGACTCAGGGAGGACAAGGGACGTGGCCAAAGCCACCCAGCTATTAAGTAATGTGCTTGGTTTTGAAGCCAGACCCCAAAGCCTGTGCTCTATCCACTGGGCTTTCCTACCCAGCTGAAACCAACACCAAGCCCTTCTCAAAATCAAGGTGCAAACACTAGTTTGGGGGTACTGAAATGACAAAAATTCCTGTTGATACTCCTGTTTCCCCCCCTACCAGGAATATCAGAGAGCTAGAGTTAGAATTTACAAAAGTCATTTAGAGAAAAGCTTATGGCAAAAACGGTTTATGGTTCAAGACTTCTAATTATTTGCTTTAGTGAATAAAAGCATGAAGAGTGTGACTTTGAGGTGCAAGGTAGAAATATTAAAATTGATGAGAAAAAAAACAGCAACATCAAATGCTGGTAGATAGTTTCTTTGAAGCATAGAACATACCATCTTGGGGTATAGGCAGCTTCACCCACATTTTATAGGATCACAGAGGTTCAGAGACAGTCATTAACTTACCCAAGGGTTACACGGCTAGCAAGTGCTCCTGTGTTGTCCCAAAGTGTCCCAGAGGGTAGAGGCGACTTAATGAATAATCTCAGGAGATTATGTGGCAATGGCTTATTTTATAGGGTGCAGCAAAAATCTCATGTTTTATCTTTAAAATCATGCAAATTTTGTATTATACTCTACAATAGAACCATGTGTTTTTTATATTAGAGCAAGCGTATTAAATTATTTATCAGCTGAATTATTTAACTTTTCTCTCCTGAAAGTGACACTTTGGAAAGATATGCCTTGCTTCTCTGTTGTGGCTTCATAAATGCTCGGCACACAGCCATGTACCACTGGGAGAACATCAGCCCAGCTTGAGAAACACAGGGTCCAAGGGGCAATTATTCATATGTGGTTTAAGGACCTAGTTCAAGGTAGCACAGAATTATTATTATTATTTTTTTTAACCACAGCGTAAGGTTGCGAATGCTGTCACCTCGGTAACATTCATTAACTCATTCAATCAATTAGAGTCTGCTATGTGCCAGGCCCAGCACCAGACACTGGGCCAATCCAACCCCAGAGGGGACAGTTACCCGGCACCACAGGCTCTCCCAGGAGCAGTCAGGCAGATCCCGCCATCCAGACGTGCTGGCCTCCACCCTGCCCGAAGCCCCAGCCGGAGGGGACTGGTCTCACTGACCTTATGAAGGTACGAAAGCCTGTTGGTCCCAACTTCATGGATCCCTTGATTCCCAGGAACCGGATAAACAAATTTGCCATCCTGTCCACCAGGCGCAGGTAGTTGAACTGCTTTGCATACTTGGGGAACACCTGCTTGAGGCAGATGGAGGGCAGGTGGGCTTCGGCATAGGCGTTGCCGCCCGAGGCAATGGCCCGCTCGCTGTCAGGGGCTTCCTTTGCGGCTAATGGCTTCTCAAGCTGCTGAGACCTGGAGCACACAAGGAATTAACGGTTGAACCGACATCTGGAGTGGGCTTTACAGCAGACAGAGCCCTTTCTCTTGCATATTCTCCTTTCCTTTAGATTTATAGCAATCCCCGGAGGTGGCTATTGTCAGCATTTTTACTGTACAGACCAGATAATGGACCTCAGAAGAGTGACCTGTCCAGGCTCACACAGCTAGTGCGTGCCCAGACCAGGACCCGACCCCAGGACAGAGCCGGGGCTGGAAACGCTTCCTCTATTCCACCCTCCTGCTTCCCCAGTATGGACAATTTCCTTTACTGTACTTGTGAGTCAAGAGAATAATACTCCATTATGGAGCAGTCTGGGTTTGATTTCAAATTCCCATTTATGGGTAATAATTGAATAATTAGGAAATATAAAAATCTCATTGAGGGCTGGCAAGAAGCCATAGGCACAGTTCAATGAACAATTTCCAAAGATATATCAGTTATCCAATTCTAGAGGTAGGCACAATGGTGTTTTCTGGCTTAACTATTTTCTTATTTGGAACTCATACAAAAAAAATGATTATAGTGTTGTGATTCCTTAGTTTGGATATTTTATTCTGAAGTTATTCGGATATTCAGGAAAATTCATAGCTCTGAAAATCCCACCAACATCCTGGAATACACTTCTCATCTCTATACCCCCACATGTCTAACTACCCTTACCGACCTTCAGAATGGCCCACGGGCACCTCCGACTGAAATGACCACGCCCCCTCACCCCCAGTCCTCATTCCCCGTCTCCGTGAACGTCACCACCAGTTACTCGGCTGGGAGGCACCGGAAGAAACGCCAGCGCCTCCTCTCCCTCTGCCTCCGCAGCCAGTCCTACCTCCTTAGTCTTCCCTGAAACTCCCCTCTCTCCCTCCCTGGGCCTTGTTGATTCTTGCCCGGCTGTAGCAACAGGGCCTCCTGCCTCCAGCCTTTGCCATCCATGGATCCACCCTGCACACTGGCACCCTGCACACTGGCACCCTTTTGCTGGTTGGGTCACCCACTCGCTACAGCTCTTCGGTGACTCCCGAGAGCCTACACGATACAGTCATATTCCTCATTCTGGCACTCGAGGCACTTCCCGACTGCTCCTGCCCCCTCCTCACTTCCTGTCCGTGCCTCAGACACACTGTATCCCTCAAGGCCTTGAACGCTCCCTGCAGCCCCATGCTGCTGTCCGTCAGTCTGGCCTGGAACCAGAGACTCGGTGTTCACTGGACGCCCAGCTCCCTTCCATGCTCGGTGCCTCTCTCCACACCTGTAGCTCATCTCACTTTCCTGTCTCCTGTCCTGCCCACAGCTGATCTGGGGCCTGGTGCAACCCTTTCCCACCTGCATGTCCATCCCGGCGATGGAATCCTGAGCACAGTGAACATGGATACTACTAACTAACAGCACTGAGCCCAATACCAAGGCCGTTTTCTACTCTTTTCTTTATTAAATGGCCTTGTCCTCGATGCTCCCACTTTCGATCGCGCCATCAGTACCGAGTTGGACCATGCTGGTATCTTCGTATTGACTTCCCTCTACCTTTAAGACCTTCCCCTGGCCCCGGCCGCCTGACATACTTCTGTGCCACTTTCAACACCAGCTCAGATGTCTCTTGACCATGCTGATGGCTCTTCCATGTCCTACTCCTGTTCACGTCCTCTTCCTGGGACTTGCTTCTTTGTTCCCTCGTCAAGCTGTACCGCATTTGTTTATATGCCCATCCCTCTCTTTCGTGAGCTCCTTGAAGGCAAGAACCACATCTTACTCAACTCTGTTTCTCTAGGACCTGGCACATACGCGGTACCTGGGGAGCGACTCATTGAATTGGTTGAATTGGGAAAGTTTGCTTTTAATAGCCAAGTAAGCCTCACATAAAATATCAAGGTGATGGCACTTTGTACCCCATAAGCTCTTTTAAACGAGAAAGGAGTGCTCGGCAGCCCCGCCAAAATGCTCTCCTCTTCACCCTGGTCCCAGGAGCCAGCCTCTAAAAAAGAGAACCCCTCTGTGTGAACAGGAAGTCCTCTAAGTTCTGTTCACGGTTCCTTCTAAGGCGGTCTTGACATTGGTCTCAAAGCAAGGACAGGCAGACGGCACAACCGGAGCAGCGACCAGAACCAGAACCAGAACTTTAAAGTTCAGCAGTGCAGATGGTTCTGGAGGAGCGGCCCGATTCCTCGGGAGAGGGCCATGCTCCCGGGGGCAGGGGTGGGGGCTTTCCCATCATCTCCTTCAACTGGAGCCAGTAAATAAAAGTCAGGTGGTTGCTTTTTCAGATAAGACGAAATGTTTTCCCATTAAGGTTATAGGAAGAAAGATGAAGGGGGGAAAAAGCAGCACTGTTACTGGAAATTAGCTCTTAAATTACTGGATAAGTGGCAATCACCGACTTTATGAGCACTCGTTAAGTTTTTGTTAAAGGGAAGATTTGGAAATGCACACCATGGATACACTTCATGACAACGACAACAGCTCGGAGGACTCTTCAATCAGCAGAACCGTCCCATGTTCATTATCTCGTCTGCTCTTTACACAACCCGGCGAAGTCGACTGTTATTATTACACCCCTGCTCCGCATGGAGAGACTGAGGCACAGCAGGGTGGAGCACCTCCGTGCCCTGGCTGACCCGGAATTGTAAATGTGTCCTTCTAACCAGCTCTGTCTCCACTGCGCCACCATGACACTCTGGGTGGTGGGGGGTCGGGTACGCTCATCATGACGCATCATGATTCATGTCAGGGGGCTACACAGCCATAAGCACCGCTACTGACTGTCTGTTTTAAATAGCTTTTTAAAGAGTCTGATAGTAATTCATGCTCTTTGTAGACAGCTTGAGAAATGCATAAAGGAATCAGAACCATTCGTAATCCCACAACACAGGGATGAACACTATCAACATTCTGATTTATCTATAAAGTTAGGATCGTATTACATGGCAGTTAAAATCCTTCTTCTCACATTTTACATTACATCGCAAGTATCTTCCCATGGCACTGAACATGTTTTCATGAGCGTAATTTCTCACGGACAGGTAATGTTCTGTACTGTGCCGGAACCGTCACGTAATGAGCCATTCCCTCTCGCTTAGACACTGGGTGTCCGCATCGCCTGCCTTCGACGAAACAGAGTCTGGTGATCAGTCCCCTGAACGATGCGCTCTCTTCTCAGAAGCAACACATGACAACCAGACGCAGCCTTGGAGATCGCTCTGTCCAATGATGTCATCTACTTTCTTTTATTATGGTCTAATGTACGTAACATCAATTCACCATTTTAACCATTTGGAAGTGTATAATTCAGGGGGCGTTTAGTACGCTCACGGTGTTGTCAAACCTCTAGTTCCAGAACGTTTTCATAATGATGTCATTTTAGAGAAGAAATCTGAATCCCAAGATGATAGAGACATTAGCACCAATGGATCGTTTAATCAGCAGAATGTCCAGGGTGGTGGGCTTAGCTTGGGTTGTCCCACGCCAAGTGATGGTGACCCACCACCTCCAGGGGACCTCTCAGGCTGGGAAGTCCGAGGTCTTTCCTTCCAGTGTCCACAGCCTGCATCTTGTCCTGACCCCGGAGCACACAGAATGGGTCTTCTGTGTGACAGTCTTTCACATTTCTTAAAGGGTTGCTGCACTTACTGGGTGACTACCATTTCCCTTCCTTCCTGAATCCCAATTAAGAATCTCAAGATGCAAAGGGCCTTCGATGCCACAGATGTCATTTTATGGACTCAAAACCACAAATTCAGGGGGAAGTGGTTTTACTCAACTGGAAGAAGGCAGTAAAGATACAGCTGATATGTAAGAGGAAATAAAACAATGAGAAATGATATCTTTGCTCGAGATAATTCCAATTATCACACTGAGATCCAAGTTATCACAAATATTGTAAAATCCTGTTTTTACTTAATCGCATTTTAATGGAAATGTCGGGCTGGCTTATGAAATAAAAGTGACTGGTAAAGAAAATATAAATCAAGCTTACGAGTCCTTTGGGTAATTTTTTAAATTGAATTTGGGAAACCCTTGATAGGGGAAAGAATCCTGGAATGTTTTACGTATTATCGTTTTTCAAATAAAATGGAATTCCTTTTTATTAAAATGCTTGTGACAAACCACCTATCTCTATTTTGCCTGGAAAGCCTACTGCCAAAAATCACCACTATTTAGTGGGGACCTGCTACATATATGTCAAGCATCGTGTCAAGCAACTTACTCGTGTTATTTCCTTTGGTCCTCATAACAGTTCTAGGAGGAAGGTGAAAACTAGTCCCATTTTACAGATTAGGAACCTGAGGCCCAGAGAACCTGAATTACGTGCCCAACGTCACAAATCGCCAGTGGAATCAGAAGTTAGACTCAGGGCCGTCTCACTACACACTCAGTGCTTTGTTCAATCAAACCAAAGGCTTTTCTTCTGCACAAGCTGCACATGTTCCCGGAAATTAACATGATAGGAAGGTAGATGAAGCAAGGTCAAGTTGTAGTTTCAGAGAGGGTGCTCGAATTTTCTCAGAGAAATAATTTCCACTTTTAGTTAAGTGTACCTCCAATAATTTATTCATTCATGAACCACTTCCCAAGTACTTAACCGTCCCAAAGGCCTGTTGGTGGTGGGGTGAGGTGGACACAGTCCCTGCCACCCAGAAGCGGGTGACTGAATGGGGGAAGACATGACCCATCTGTAACAATGACTGAGTGAGGCAGAAGTGGCCAGGTGAGCATCCAGAGGTGGGACCCAGAGCCTATGGAAGGAGCAGGTTTGCTGGATCTTGGCTGTATGCCTCAAGAGAGACAGGTAGGAATATGACCAGGAAGCCCAGGTATTATAGGATCTTGAATGTCTTGGATTAGGTAGTGTAGGAGGTGGGATGAATGTGTGGATTTGGGGGGGAGGGGTGGGAAAATCAGAAGTACAGTGAGGATGAATGAACCTGCCAGTGGCATGTATTCTGAATTGAGGTGGGGGAGTGGCTAAATTTAGGAAGCCACT